AAGAAGAAGAAGAAGAAGAAGAAGAAGAAGAAGAAGAAGAAGAAGAATAACAAGAATAATTCCAAATTTACAGCTTTAAAATGTTTGCTCACATACACATTTCTATGATTGTTTTCATTATCGTTCGATCGGAAACACAGATCTTAGATAATCGCAATTTATGTGTGTCACAACAATTCTCTACTAAAATTATTATTGTTAAGCCATTGACGCGAAAAAGGATTAGCCAAGGAGACGAGCATCGTGTATGCGAATGCTTGGGAACAGTCGGAAAGTCACAAACTCCGTTTGTTTTTTCAATTTCTCAATTTTTTTCCAGTGAACAATGTGTTTAGTATGATTTCAATGTGAATTTAAATAATAATAATATTTGAAGAAAACAAAAACAATGAGTGGACCTGGACATCCTTTAGAAATCGTTTAAGCTGATGATCTTCTATATAGGGTCACACACTTTTCATCAGTTCAATGTGTAGATGATTCAAAAAGAACAAACATAGTTCCAATTGATAAGAAAAAGAATAACTTTATTGAGAACACAGCTATAATATTCAACTATTATAAATTAACACTAGAATTAGCGACGAAAAAATGGAAGAAACAAACTTGTAAAATTTTCAGCAAGACAACAATCTTATTATATATAGCTCAATCTTTCTAACAAACGTGACAACAACAACAACAACAACAACAACAAAACTCTTCATTATTCAATAAATGACTTATATTAAAATATTCAATATTAACAAAAAAAAAGACTATTTTATCAAAATGAAAGAAACCGAACAAAAAACGAGAGCGATTTTGTGAAATTAGAAACCCACATATAATTAATTGAATGAATTGTATTTGGAACAGAGAACAGAATTAAGAAACATTTCAAATAAAACTTTTTATTGCTGCTCGCTGACGCTTGCAATTGATCTGTGAATTGTTGTTTGCTTCTCTATCCGTCGACAGACAATAATGTGCCAGAAGGCAAGGCGAATATTTTATTTAGGTGAGTTTTGATTCTTCATACGTTATCATCTTAATAAGTGAGGCTTCAATCAAGGAATAACACATCGGTCAATAAGTCCCGAGCCTAAGTAGGAAAACAACATTTTTTTGCCAAAATTCAATTTTATTCATCAACATAGTCCCCTTTTAGAGTGATACAATCATTCCAACGCCTTTCTAGCTTTTCGATACCAGTTTTGTAGAACGATTTGTCCTTGGCCTCAAAATAGGCTTCAGTTTCGGCAATCACCTCCTCATTCGAGCCATATCTTTTTCCCTGGAGCATTTTTTTGAGATCGGCAAAAAGCCAGTAGTCACTGGGGGCCAGATCTGGAGAATAAGCCGGGTGGGGAAGCAATTCAAAGCCCAATTCATGCAGTTTGGCCATCGTAACCATCGACTTGCGACACGGTGCATTGTCTTGGTGAAAGAGCACTTTTTTCCTTGCCATATGAGGCCTTTTTTTGGCGATTTCCTTCTTCAAACGCGTTAGCAATGCTATGTAATATTCACTATTGATGGTTCTTCCCTTTTCAAGATAGTCGATGAATATTATTCCGTGCGCATCCCAAAATACTGAGGCCATAACCTTGCCAGCTGACTTTTGTGTTTTTGGGCGCTTTGGTCGACTTCCACCGGCTTCTGTCCATTCAGCTGACTGCCGATTTGACTCCGGAGTGAAATGGTGGACCCAGGTTTCGTCCATGGTCACATAACGACGCAGAAACTCGTTCGGATTGCGCTTAAAAATGGTCAAACAGCTCTCCGAATCATCGACACGATTTTGTTTTTGTTCCGGTGTCAACAAACGCGGCACCCATTTCGAACACAGCTTTCTCATGCCCAAATGATCATGCAAAATTGTGTACACACTGCCTTTTGATATCTTTAGGATGTCAGCTATCTCCTGCAATTTCAGTTTGCGGTCGGCCATAATCATTTTGTTGATTTTTGTGATGTTTTCTGGAATAACTGCCTCATTTGGCCTACCAGAGCGTTCAGCATCATCGGTGTCCGTACGACCACGTTTGAAATCGGCAAACCATCGTTTGATGGTTGCAATTGATGGAGCAGAGCCCGGGTAACACTTTTGAAGCCATTCCTCAGCCTGAACGGTATTTTTACCCATTAAATAGCAATGATAAATCAACACACGAAATTGCTTTGAATCCATTGTTTTGAAAATTACAAAAGTAGCGTCACTTAAACCACTGTAACTAGGTAAATAATAGTCCAAATGTCATGAAATTTTGACAGTAATCTTTTGAAGGTTGGTACTTTCGAAAAATCATGTGGATATTTCATTAGTGGCGCCATACGGTGGTTAGGCTCGGGACTTATTGACCGATGTGTTATAAGCAGTTTTCATGATCCTGTATCCGTGACACGAAGCCATTATTGCCGATGCCGATTGTATTAACAAGGCATTTTTATGCGTTTTTCCCGTTTTGATTCTCTTTAATATTGCTCGTAGAAAAGCAGTCGATTACAAATCAATGTAGGGTATTTACTCACCTACTGAAAATCTAATTCGTCAGAAATGGACCATTTTTTGATATTCTCTCTGTAAGTATAAACCATCCTGGTATCACAAATGATTTTTCTTCGATTGTGATTCCAAAAATTGTTTAAAATCTATTTCAAGCTCGAAAAAACTTAGAGAGGGAACAGAGAGTGCATTTTTGCTGTTGAGTAGACCAGAGCTGAGCTGAGCTGAATTTGAAGACGCAGACGCTTGGAGCAGTATTTTAATGCACATACGGTCCAAAATTGCCATTGCTACCTGAGATTCACGTTGTTTATCAATTATATCAATGATCTTAGCAATGACAATTTTGCACCGTGAGTGCGTGATTTTCCGCTTCAGGCACCAACAAAACGTGACAACAACAACGACAAAAAAACTCTTCACTTTTCAAACAATGAGTTCTTCAATATGAGCAAACATACTATTTCATCAAAATGCAAAGTAAAATGAACGAAACAAAAAATAAATGAACAAACCGGTGGAACAAAAGACGAGAGCGATTTTGTGAAATTAGAAACCCACATATTAGGTAATTGAATGGATTGTATTTGGAACAGAGAACAGAATTAATAAACATTTCAAATGAAACTTTTTATTGCTGCTCGCTGACGCTTGCAATTGATCTGTGAATTGTTGTTTGCTCCTCTCTCTCACACTTTCTCTCTCTACCGACAGATTAAAATATCATGCTCGGTGAATTGAATTGGTGCGGGTGAAGAGTGGTGCTTAAAAGCACGGGCGATAAAATGTAAAGTAGGATATCTAACTGAAAATTCTAGTTTCATCATTTCAACAGAAAAAAACGCACACATCAAATGAAAAGAAAGCAGAAAAAAAAACAAATGTCACATCAACCTTCAGATATTTTATCCCAACCAGTTTTCCAGCGAAACCTGAAACGCATGCAACAACAATTTTTTCTTAGTCATTACCTGTGTGTTATTGTTGTTTCTGCTTCATTTATCAGAATAAAAAAACACACAAAACCATGTTTCATCAAAGCCCATTTTTGGTGTTTGTGTGGTTTTTTTATCATCATTTTTGTGCTCTTTTTGACGCTGTTGTGCGATCGCAGTAAAATCAAGGTCTTTTCTGATTTCACTTTACAACTATTGCTCAGAATGAGAAATATACCGTTTATTCTGGCAATAAACAGCCCACTGTACACACGAACCGTTGCTTTACTCCAAAGAATTCAATAAATATATATATAAACTCACCAATCGAAACAGTTTAGTAAAGCATTTACATAATAAAGTGCACTTGATCGCAATAATTCAGCAAAAAAAAGAGTTTTTCAGCAATGAAGTCGATGATATTTGTTATTCTGATTTTTTTCACGATTTTCAACTTGGCTGCATGCCATCCCGACGAAACGGGTAAATTCAGTTTATTTTCGACCAAATTTAAATAATAATAGCAAACTATTTTGATTCGAATGATTGTATTCTTTGCAAAATTAAAAAAAATCTCTTGAAAATTATTGTTCAGTTAATCCAGTGAATGCTGAGGACGTGTGCAAGCTACCGCTGTTCAAAGGAAATTGTCGTGCATCAATGCCTCGATTTTATTACAACAGTGAAAAAAGTACCTGCGAACGCTTCGAATACGGAGGATGCCAAGGCAATGACAATAATTTTAAAACGATGGACGAGTGCGAGAAAGCCTGTGTTAAAGCCTGATCACAAACAATTTGATTTTAACTGAAATTGTGCTAGTAAATTGATTTTGAATAAATTGGTAAAATACTTCATGAGGTAAACCGTTGTTGTTTATTTTCTTGTTATTTTTGTTCTACAGAAATAATTGAATGACTTATTTTCGTAATTTTAATTTCATTTCGAAGAGAAATCAATTGTTCATGGTTTATTTCGCAATAAATTATCATTTTAAACACATTCCTAAATAATATATATTGAAATATTAATGTGTTTTCTGATAAAAACTTATTATTTTGATTGAATGTACAAGTACATTGTACACTATGGCATGAATTGGTTTGCAATAAAAATCCGTTCAGAAGATTCGTCTATAAGAATCGTGTGAAGTTCGGTTTAAAAAATTAGTTATTTGAAATTCGTCGTATGAAGTAAAAGTATGAAGTTGCTTTTGATCGTTATTTTAATCATTGTTGCTGTCCATCACGCATACTCAGAATTGCCGGAAGAGTGCAAAAAACCACCGTACCATGGACCGTGCGATTTAGATCTTGTCCGTTGGTACCATCATTTCGAGAAAGGACGATGCGACAAATTCATTTATGGCGGATGTCAAACTAACGGCAACATGTTCAAAACTCTAACTGAATGTAAAGTTAGATGTAATGTAGATTGAAATAAACTGAGATAATATGAGAACCTGAAATTCTATGCATTTTTATTATTTCTTCAGTTGTTATTGTATGATTATTATATTCATTTTCCAATGAAGTCAGAAACAAATTCTTGGTGGTACGTTATTTTTTTTTTTTTTTTTTTTCAAATGAATAGATAGAAATTGAGGGAGAAACATATCCTGCATTTTGTATAGTTCAATCAGCAATCTTCTAAAGAAGAAACTGCAAAATTTGAAATTTAATTATATAACTGTCTTGTTGATGCAAGATTGATTAGGAGTTTCATATTTAAATAGAAAAAGGAACAGAACCTTAGAACAGAAGAAACATAATTGGAAAGCAGTCAACAATGCGATTTGTAACTGTGAAAGAAAAATTCATAAAAAAGACCTTTTCCAGTGGTGAGAAAAATTCAGAAAAAATTCTCTGTCGATGTTACACTTTTAAAAAAATCTTTCGTTTTGTGTCGCTTATATATACTCTGTGAAGAAGTCTCAGTTTTGCCCTCACTCGTTCATATAATGTGTGTGGCACAAACACATTCGAAACAAAAGTATCAACATATTTTATTATATTGTATTAAAAGTCTGACAGTGTGTATATGAGCAAATTCAAAATTAATCCACCTACAAAATACGAGTGTTAGCTTTTATTTTATGAAGAACATTTGATGCAGGGGCAAAAATGTCTAGACAGAGGAGCATTCCTTTATCGCAAACGATGAGTTATATCCAGATGTAATTTATTTGAAGTTTTTCGCTGTTTTTAAACTCTAACAAGGTCAATACATCTTATCAGCGAAAAATTAAACTATGCAAAATTATTAGATTCTCTCGAATCGACCAATTTATCTATAAAAAAACTATGATAACAATTTTAAAAAAAAATCCATTCATTTTTAAAATCGAGTAAAAAAAACGATTGACATCGTTTTTAAAACGATGTTCAAATTTCAAATCTAGCACTGACACAAATTGTGAACATAACCCTAAAATAAGCCGGTTTACTGTCAATCATACACATGACAAGAAACATAAAAGAGCGCTCTCAAACAACACTTGTAAATAGAGTCTCTGTGGAAATCCCAAGAAAAATATTGAACCAAAGTAAAGTAATTAAACATGGATTTGAATTCAAGTTCTGATCAGGTGAACTGTTCGTTCGTATCGGAGAAAGTGTCAAAAATTCGTTTTGTTCAAGAGAAATACAAGCAAGCCGACACATTCATTACTGGTGGTTGGGGCTCAGACTCGAATACAGTTGGCCTGTGGAAACTCACAAAAGACGAACTATCAAATGATGAAAATGAAGTCGATTACACGCCAAAGTCCATATCAAAAGTCAAAGTTGATGGTGATGTGACCGGGTTGGAGTTTCTCAATTCGGAATCAATCGTTTGTACCACCTCATCTGATAATGGTAACCACAATCGAATGTTTTTTCATCGTTTCAACTTTGTATTCAAGCATTTTTTTTTGTTTATTTTCCAGTTCAATTACTTCTGATCAACTTGAATCATGGTTTGACACATGAGAGCATCACGGTTAAGCATCAAATTGAGCAATTGCACAAATACAAAACAAATACGCCGGCTGTGTGCAGTGGACTATCGGTTCATGAGACAAACATTGCTACAGTCGGAGAAGATGGAAGGTGATTCTCATCATTTTTTAAGTCAAATTCATAAAATGACATCAACGAATTCCGTTTCTCTTCCGTAGTTTGCATGTTCTATCGAGCCAAGGGCGTATTGTGAAATCATTTCAACATGTGGACAGTTGTGCCATTTCATCGGTGGCTTTTGTCAATCACAATGAGGTATTATGACAAGCTAATCGCTTATTTCACATGTGTGTCTTCGACAGCAGCTGACAAATTTTCATATTTTTCAACAGATTTTCACTGGAAATCGAATCGGAATCATCAATGTATTCGATGTGAGAAATACAGAGAATAAGCCCAGCACAAAATTGGTTATATCGACTGAAGATGACAAACGATCGAATTGTGTCACTTGCATTACCTATCATCCGAATCAGAATCACATTGTCAGTTGCTCGTAAGATTTGTATTTAGCACCAATTTCATTGTGCTGTCATTTTCAACAGGTTTTATGCGGTAGTGAAGAAGGCACATTAACTATTTGGGATTTACGACAACCGGCTTTCCCAGCTTCTTACTATACAGTGCACGAAAAATCATCCGTTAGCGATGTTGCATTCCATCGCACAGACCCAACGAAACTGTTTACATCGTCCGAATCCGGTGAATTGTTCCAGTGGAGTCACAAAGCTCAACAAATTACCGAACGCATCGATGGCCAATTGACGGTCGTTGAAAACGAGAATATCAACCCTTGGCTTTGCGGACAACGAACCAAATCACGAATCAATGTAAGTAATTCTTCTTCACATCAATCCAATCTTTTGAGATTAACTAATTCGTTTTGTATTTTGTTGACAGCTGGTGAGACATTTGGAGGGAATCGGAAAGGCAATCAATTGCTTTGATACCAGTAGCTCACGAGTGATTTGCGGTTGTGACAACGAAGCCATTTACCTCATTAATAATGTCTAAAATCATCTTGTATCTCAGAAGACATCAACTTTTTTTTTTAACAAATAAATCAATAAAAACAACTCGATCGAAAGATTTACCTATGAAGTTTTTCTATTTAATAAAATGGCTAAAGGGAAAGAAAAATAACATACATTGGAGTTGAAGTAGACATTTTTCGCATCTTGACTGCATCACCAGCAGAGGTTTCTCATGTTTATGATGATGATTTTTATATATGAGATTGTTGACGGCTGAGAGTTGACGGAAGGAGATTGAAATAAAAACACGCTTGTCTTGTTTTTTGTACATTTATTGGTTTTTATTTGAAAATCAAAAACTCAGATTCTTAGTTTAAGACTGAACTTAGTCGCAATGTTTTGAATGTGTGTCAGACTTTAAATGCAAAAATATATTACCCGATTTCAAAGTCTCCATGCTTATCGTATGGATAATTAAACTATTTTTGTTTATTTGTGTGCTTGTTTTTTTTTAAATTGTATTTTCTCATATGTTTATTTTAATTAATGGAACTAACTCTATTCCGTTCCAATAAAAGGAATTAAATTAAATGTGAATAGAATTTCTTCGGTACACAAAGACATCAAAAAGTCTCTGGACATTGATGAGCGTTTGTAGCTATATGGAAGCATTCAATACTTTGTGATCAACTCATTTGTGGCACTATTTTATTCACTTATATTTTGGTCTGATTATGAGTTAAAATGATCATAGCAAATAGCTACAAACGAACATCGACGACTCGTGTATTCTGTTCATCTTTGCATGAATTTATAACGAAATACTAGACTAACCAAACAAAAATGTTGTAAACTTTGTCACACCATCTGGTTTTCCGGAAGTGTTAATGTAAAAAAGAAGAATTCGAGTAAAAAAAAAAACGATGAATGGATTTGTCAAAGGAATCACGGAAAATGCGCTTCCCTTCGACTGCAAACGAAGCGGATGCATTTATTTAACGCCGCGCAATTCGACGTCAAAGATCAACGTGGCGTTGCCTGGGATCACTGGTGGTGAACCTTTGTTACCGTATGCAACAGCTGGTGGGCATATGATGCGACGCTTTGAACCAACCTTCATACCAGCAACGCCAATATCCCAACCACGGATCACTTCACCGCGTCCCAAAGAGAACTGGAATCCATTGCCCGCTTTTGTACTGTCGAATACCTTGTTGTTGCTTTTAAGACGACCTTCGTAGTACACAGATACCTTTCGGCCTGGTGTTGCCTCGGGACCTCTACCAACGCGAAGATCTTCGATTATTACACCTTGAGCGAGGGTTTTTGGTGTTGACTTTTGTGGCTGGTTCTGTTGGTTCTTTTGCTCCTGTAAATGAGGCATATGCATAGCACACATTAGCAATGAATCGATAAAGATGAAAAATGGAGAGACAACCTGTGCAATTCCACTATGAAACAGAGAATTCTCAAATAGCTACTACATTCGTACATGTTCGTACATGTTCGTACATGTTCGTACATGTTCGTACCTGTTTTTCTTGCTTTTGATTCTTCTGTTGTTGTTGTTGTTGTTGTTTTTGCTGATTTTTCTGCTTTGGATCATTTTCTTTCTTTGCGGCTTTGCCGTTGGTCAAACCATTTTGCTTGGCGTTCTTGTCGAACTTTGCCTGTTTGGCTGGCGGTGCTTGGACCTCATCATCTGAATCTTCTTCATCCTCTTCATCGTCGTCATCTTCATCCTCTTCATCGTCGTCATCTTCGTCATCATCTTCGTCGTCGCTGCCTGAAATTACAAACGATCACCATTTCGATTCGAGTAAATTCAATGGAATGAAGAAAAAAATGTGAGGTTTGTCATAATGATTCCCATCAATTTGATTCGAATGAAAATTCTAATAAGAAAATGTCAAACTAAATGTGAATCACGCAGTGTGCAAAATTTGTACCTTCTTCCTCATCCAAATCTTCATCTTCGAGTTCCTGGTTAAGACCGTCAAAATCTAAATCGTCGCTCTCATCATCGTCGTCTAGAAATGAATTCAAAGCCATAGTATGAATTGTCGATCTAGGCTCATTCTACGAATGTGCTCATCTTAAATGTATTCAACTTACCTTCATCCTCTTCTTCGTCTTCTTCATTGCCTACTTTGATTTGCTTCATATTGCCTTTTTCCTTTCGTTTCTTTGCTGCAGCTGGAGCTTCGACCCCTTCGTCACTGTAAATGCAACAGAAGAAAAATACGTTGTAAAAATGCTCTGAATTGGTCATTTTCAATTTGCATTCAAGCAAATGCATTACTAACCTATCTTCTTCCTCCTCTTCTCCGTCACCGAATGGCAAATCGCCAAAATCGTCTTCGTCTGGGATTAAGTAGCCGCTCAGATGAACGGTACCGTTTCCTTTGCTGTAGAAAGCAACTGTTTCACCTTCAGTGAAAGCAAGATCCAAACGGACATGTGACGTTTGTCGGTTGACATTGGCAATCAAATGATCGGTATCATCTGTGTGTAGCCAAACTTGAACCAATGCATCACTTTCGTTGAGTGTGTTCAAATCCAATGTGGCCTGTGATACATGGAACGCTTTTGTGACTTGTTGCGAGTAACGCTTGTTTGTCTTCAAAACCAAACCTAATTTGAGTGAAAAACAGGGGGAAAAAACACAGGCACACGATAAAGTGAACGTTCGGAAAGCATTGTGGTAAAAAAACAAAAATAACGGGATGAATTGAACGACACATGCGACACCCGAGTAAGGTTAAGTATGATCATCTCTCTGTTGCGGCAATAACACACAAAAACATGTACACACTTTTCCAATGCGCAAATTTTTTTGAAAATTTATTTCAAATTTCGACAAATGTAGATGAATTTATCGTAAACACGTGTTTAGCAATCGAAATGTGTGAAAAATTTATAACATTTCCATGATTTCAATCATACAACCAAATTGAGAAGAATAAAAAACACGTGTGTATGACAATTTTCGGAAATGATATTCGGATTTTATTGAAAATTCAAGTAATTTTTACTCACCCCAGAACATTTTGTCGTTTGTCAAACAACTGATTAAAAACTAAACTAATGATCAATTGCAGTTGCAAGAAAAAACAAATAATAAAATTTCAAAAAAAGAAGCACTGTTGTTTCGAAACTATTTCAAAATTGACGAAGAGTACGACGACCACGTTCGTTTAGCGGCTTTCTAAATATGATTCCAGTGACTGTCTATACAAAAGGCGCGTGCCATACACAGACGTTTGTGTGTTGAAAGAGAAACCGAAGAAAGAAGAAGACTCAAATGTCACACATAATTTCATCGCATTGGAGTGCGTTCCTCTGGGTGGACGGAACGCGTTCCGCATCGGAATTCAAATGAAATGGAATGGAATATGCACAACAAATGCAATTTACCATTTTTGAAAAAGTGGAAGAAATGTATTTCGTTATTTTTTTGCCATTTTCATTATTGTTTTGTTGTTTTTTTCTCTCCAGGTTGACGTATATATATTTGATGCAACATTTTCTGTATGTTCTACAAATAAATGATAAATGTCGTGTTGTTCATACGGGCGAGCGTATGGTAAGTGTGGCCAAGGAAACAACATATGTACCGTGTGTACACACGGAAGAAAATCCGGATTATAAATATTTATTAGACTCAAGTGGAAAATTCCGTTTTTTTCCATACGCTTTCATCGCATTTTTTCGGTGAATATCAACAGCGAACCAAAATTCAATCATCAACTTTATCCACTTCAGAGCGCATGGAAGACGCGCATGCATCAGAACGAGATGGAGAGCGAGCAAATCAACAGCAAGAGCAGCAGCAGCAACAACAACAACAACATTAACATCAACGTAACGGAAAATGGAAAAATAATAATCGCTTAGCGTAGCCTGGTGTTTCTGCTGTTGTGTGGTGATTCCTTTTACCGAGCGAGGATTTCGGTTGCATGCGCAAAACACAGCTCGTATTTGTTTTTCTCTCTCGCTCTCGGCACAGCTGAAACATTTCGATGCCATCCCCATCAGAACCGTTGGAGTGAGCGGGCTAACGAGCGAATCGCACAGTAGCAACATACACATCAATACACTCAAACAACATACAGGGATATTTGTCCTGATTTTCCAACAGCATTCTATCAGTGTAAGAAAATGTTTCAAGCAGTTTGTAAAACAAAACTGACCTGTGTACATAGAAAAAGCACAGTTTAATACAACAGCTTCTTAATGAAATTTAGTTTTGTAGTTAAAAAAAACAACAACCCAGTTTAAAATAAACAAAACGAAAATTTGCCAAAGCAGCAGATGAAGAAAAAACTATCTACTTTATATGTTCGCCAAATATAGTGTTTTCCTTTTCGAAATTTAGACGTAGATACTGTTGTATGCAATGCAGCTCCAAACAACTTTTATTGTGTATGAATATGTTGCGTTTTTTTTTCGGGAGCCTCCGTTCTGTCAGTTTCTATAATTGCATAAATATTGTGCGTAGTGAACAGTAAAATAGCCTATCAAGAATTATCTACACTTGTACACCATTCATATATGTACTGTTGACTCTTGCAGAAGATTTTTTTCTCGCTCGTTGCTTGGATGAATCGCATGACTGAACTGAGTTCAAATTACCATCATCAATCAAATGCTTGACCAATTGTGGTCAGCATGTTTGATTCTTTCAAGTGCTTAAATTTTTGTTTCGCTTTGCACAAGTAAAGGTTCTTCGGTGAACATGTGCGGCGATATATAGAGAAAAAAAACGCTCATTAATTGATGTGCATTTCAATCGAATAATAATTTTTCTACCGTGTTCACCGACATCAAATGAAAAACCAATTCCATCACATCTTTGATATGTACAGTGTTGCATGTACGCAAATCTTCAACATGGATTGGATAAATAAAATCTACGTTTGGTTCAATTATCGCTGAACTGTGAAAATTCATCGAATTTTTTTTGGTGGCTTCGTGTCGCTCACACAACGAAACAGCCACAATAACAAACCAAAACAGAAAAACATCGTGGAAGAGAAACAAATCTGATGTGAGCCGAGACACAAAATCAACAACAAAAACAAAGAAGAAGGAGAGAAAAGAAAAAAGTTTTACGTGTGTCCATTGACAACATAATACCTTAATTTTGGCTAATAAACTGGTGCATGATTAGCAGCAATTTTAGTGTTGAAACGAAATCAAGAAACATAAGTGACATAAAAGCGACGAGAAAAAAAACAACATTGATTTGGACATTGGCTTTTTGGTTAAACATAGAGAGGTTTGCATACGAACGTGGACAACAGCAACAGCAACAGCAACAGCAACAGCAACAAAAATATCATGTTTAATGCAGACACACGAGCAACATACACTGTGGGAACAATTTTGAACTGAACTCGTTTTTACCATGATATTCATCGTTGGACTTAATAATCACAATAATCGTAAGTAGTTTTGTGTCTACTTGGATGGTTTTCTCCTTGTCCCCAAAAATAGTGCCACATTCTGTTTATATCCGCGACTGATTCCAAATGCGGAACATGGTCTAGTGCTGTATTGTATGCAGCAGAAGAAGAAATGGGGAATGAAAGACGAGAGAAGAAAAAGACTGTACGACAATAACCCGTTACATATTTGCATCGAATAAAAACGGGAAAATATGACACTGGAACCAAAATAAGGAGCATAATATACATTAAAAACTGTGATTGTCAAGAAGAAGAAAAGAAGAAGAAGAAAAAAACAACGATTTGGAAGGACCGTGTGTTGTCGTTAGCCGCTCATTTCGCTTCCTTTTTTTTCTTTCAAAAATACACAAGACCTGCCACTATATAACCTTTTGTTTTGTTTTCTTTTCCGTCGCATCGATTTTCCGATATTGCTCTTCTGTGTGTTATCAACAGTTTTACGATACACATACGACATGAAAATTGAAGAAATTTGAAAGGATCAAAAGCCCGCACACATGGTATGCGTGTGCTTGCGGGGATGAGTGAGCGGCGTTCATGTGTTGGTGCGATTATGGCAGTGTTACAAATTCAAAACAATTTTCCTTGTATGGCATATATCGGTTATGAAGAATGAATCGAAATAAAAAAACCAAAAACAATGAACGTGAATTCCTTTGTTCGATAAAAGCGTTAAGGAGCTTTTCTCCCAATGTGACCTGCCACACGTTATGATTTATGAATAATGAATGTGCCCAGAATATGAAATATTGCTCGTAAATGTGGTTGACATAATTTTGTGGATACAAATACTGACCTCCTGTAGTTTCTCTCTCTCACGGTGAACCGTCGGGTGGCAAAAAAGTATCGCAAGACGAAAACCAAAAAAATCTGGGTAATCCACTCAATTCTCCTATACTTTGATTGCTGGATACCGATCGCTTGTAGAAGCGTCATTCCAATGGTTAATTGCATGAGAGTGGACTCGCATTTTCATGAACGATATTGAGACATTTCAGACAACATTTTGTTTTTCTCATGTTCAGAATAATCATACTAATTTTAGGCCAACGGAATAAATGCCATGCTCCAATTTTCATTCGAATACTCATCGTGGCTGCTGCATTGATTTATGGTGGATTGTATGACGACAGTGCGTGTTGTTGGAAGATATATGTACACTTCTCTTTTTTTCCGAGCCTCTCTTTCTCCCCCGTGCTGCGACCAGCTTCTTTGCTGTGCACTTAATCAGATCAACTGAGATAAAGTTCAACGTACGTCAATACGTGTTGAGCTCCATTCAGATGGAATGAGGCTGGCTTGTTCATTGCTTTACGTGATGCATACTGCATACGATTTTCTGCATGTAAACGTGCGCGCAAAAGTGTTGACCTCCATACAACCTTTTGCGATGTGATGCATTTCATATAGGAAACGATGTCATTCGAACACAATTTTCCCCTTTTGCTAAATCTCTGGCTGATTCGATTTTCACGATTTTATCAATGAAAATGATCGAATGTTGCATGGATGCATGCATGTGTGTGTGTGTGTGTGAGTTCCGCAAAGCATGCACACTGCAAAATGTATAGAGTCCAACAAAAACAACAACATCCATACAAATTCATCGCAACCAATGATACCGACTTTTCATTCGGATCAAATTCGTTTCGGACTATTCAAATTTTATGGATATATGAAAATGCTAGGATGGCCAGCAAGCAGTGTTTCATTCACTTTTTTTCTTCTTCATTCAATTTCATTTGCTTGTTTGTCATCATTGCGTAAGATTGTATATAAACACTTATCTAATGGATGGGAATGATGTTGAATGGTCGGTGCTTAATTATGAAAGCCATTAGGATTTTGACTGCAATGATGGCGAAAGCGATCATTCGATTGCATTGCTCAAAAAGACAGCATAATTAATGAGTCTTGTGAAAATAAGCATAGCAAAAATTGTTTTCCATGGCAATTTAATGGGTAATTTTCAAAAACCATGACAATAAAAGCAGCACGATAGTACCAGTCATGGTAACAAAACAGAAGTTGAGCTGAAAGCTCATTTTACATCACCGAATAAGTGGAAGTGTATGTAGTGTACTGTTTTCTGTGTGTGTACGCGCGCAAGACAGCGAAAATTATTGGACACTTTCACTGGAAATGCTCGTTTTTCCCCTCTCTTTCTCATTATCTCACATTAAGTGATGAAACACGTATAAACAGCGGAAAATGCTCAGTTTTATAATCATAATCAATATATATGTATATAAATGTATGATAATTTCTGCATAGTGACCCGAGAGCAAGAGAGTAATGTACAAAACGGCCATACTTATATTCATTCATTTTTTCATGTGTAGTCAACACATTTCAACACCATATTCTTCACATTGATTTATAAAGTGGATGGCGGTTCGTTCGCTTCTTTCGCTCAATGATGCCACCACACCAATTGGAGGACAACACAAATAAAGTGCAATTCCGTTGATACATTTTTGCTTAATAATGGCGTCGCAAACGGGATGCATATCGCGCGCGCTCTCTTTTCACTCATTCTGCATGCACTGTGGTGTGTACACAGGCATATGCCTCTCTGACGCAAAACTCATATTCGTTGAGTGTGTTTGTGCCACAATTTTCTTGAAATGCACATTCCAGTGCAGCGTCACCATGCTGGAACGATTACTTTTTTCTTCTTTGCACACGAACACATGCAGGTTCAGTGCGTGTATTGTGAATCGGATGAGTTGCATCCCTTTATAGAAATTGCATTTGTAAATCTGGTTTCATTGAGATATTATAAAACGATTTTTTATTTTATTTATTTATTTATTGAAAATTTATTTATTGAAAAAATTCATGATCATTGAACATATTTATCGAAGCGAAATGTATGTGTAAGAAAAAAAAATTGCTTCAACATTACAACAAATGTTATTTACAATGGTGTGTGGTACAGTTTGATTCAGTATTTATGTTGTTATGGTGAACTATAATTACAATTAACCAGTCCATAGATTTTCTATTTTTGGACCAATAAAAAATGACAATTTTACAATTTTTATCACAATTTAGATTGAGTTTGTTTTTGTGTTTGGCTTAAATCTAGAGTAATAACAAGGAGAATAAAAGATAAAGTTAAATAATAAAATGAAAAAAGGTGAACAAATAGGTAAAGAAAGAGAAAAAAAAATGGATTAGAAGAAGTAGTGAATGATAACAATGCAATGAGAGGGGAATAAATTTAAATCTGAGTTTTAAGTGTATTTATGACATTAGCGTGTTAGTTAGGTGTTTGGTTGTGTTGAACGAATTTTTTGTGCATTGGCAATCACATGAGGCATCACAATAAAATTAAATGAATTCTGTTAGATGTTTTTTGCATTTGTTTTTGAATAAATCGATTGAATGGACATGGGCTTGCATTCATGTTTTCGATGTGAAGTGCCCAGAGCACCCGATTATATCGGCAACATTTGCATCTTTATCCTTAGAAGAAGTGATTAGGTGTGTGCAATTTTATTTTTAGTTCAAACAATGCTCATAATTAAACTCAAACAAATAGGTTGGCATTTATTTGTGTTCTTTTCTCAAGTGTTTCTTTCTTCTCAATTAAGTTCATCATCACTGAAAAAAATAATGAGTAAGAATTAAATGAATCCGTTTTTTTTTCTCTTTCTTTCAGTTGCTATGGAGAGCACAACTATCTTGGGAGCGATTTTGGGACTCGTTGCATTGATGTTGGTATTTTTACTTTATGTTAATCGCAGATGGTGTTTTCACACAACACCAGCATTCGCTTGCTGTGACGAAAACTCATTACCATCAAAATATGTTCATAAAATGGGTAAGTCATTTCGAAACAGTTCAACAATGTTCGTGCACATCGTTGTGGGGTTAAGGTACTGGGAGAAAAAAAGAAATGAACGGATATAGGAAACGTCTTTTGTGTTAAAGTTAAATCCATGTTAAAGTTAAATCCATGCATGTGATATTCAGAAATAAGCTCAAACCAAAATTCTTCGAAATACCATGCTTTTTGAACTCCAGTTATTTTGGACAGTTTCAAATTAAAAAAAAAGAAAAAAGAAACTTAAGTCATAAAAGACACCCTCTTCTCTTGATAGTTTCTGGATTTCTCCAAGATTTTCCGTGTTATTTTCGTCCATTAAAAATAGAGTATTTTCATTGTTGTTCTTGAAATATGGTTGAAAGTTATTAGTTTATTACGGTGACATTCAAGTTTCACATGAAGAATACGAAATCTCATTCAATTCCCTTAATTGCATTTTTATTCATATAAAACATGTGGAACATACGAACTGGTAGACTAGCCGGTTTTGACCAATTCATTTATGTTATTGCTTTATGTGGCAATTTTTGTGTTATTTACACGGAATAAACGATGGCTCAATTATTATTTATTCCGTCGGTCACAACGGTATATTTGATCCGTGGGTCACAATGGTGTAGTATTTATTTTATTGTCATGTGAATTCGGTCCGTTATCCATGAAGCTTGGCTCCGTTTAAATGCATCACTACAATTACGTTGAATATTAGACGAATGGTCGAAAACTGGTAATTTGTATTCCCCCTGATAATAACATTCTAAAGTGGCAACCAGTTGGGATTTTTTCGATAGCAAAAACTATTTATCTCTATCAATAAGAAAACAACGACAATTATTTCTCACACGATGCAAAAAACATTAGTTTTTCTTTATTCATTTTGAAAAGGGCCTTTTTTTGCATCTACTCAAATGGAAAACATATAATTCTGTTTTGAAAATAGCAAAACGATTATTATGAGCCAATGTCATATTAGAAGAGGTCATATGGAGAAAGAAAAATGATTTGGAACTGGCATTTATTTTCAGCTATTCTCTGGTTCAATAAAAGTGAAATATTCTGAAAAGCAAACGGTTAAATGGATGAATCGGTGGTTGCCATGAGTCTTCGATGTCGTTATAATCCCGTGTTTGTCCACGTGAATTATCAACCATATCAACGTTAGTCTTATGTTCTCTGTCAGAGATATAAGTTTTCGATTGCGATTGACAGACACTGTTATTAAAATCGTTTGCTTTGGACTGTACGCCACGCCACGGCACGGCACGAGTAATACGAAATGTTTGTTACCATTGAACCAAAATCAATAAGAAAGCAACAATTATTTTTCGTGTTCGTATACAAAAGCTACACAAATCATTGATTGAAAAATTCTTATAAAATTGATTAGAAATGGAAGCGAAGCAATGTCGATAGAAAACCAACAGCTAACCGGACAACAACACTGAACTTTAACAAGTTATTGTTGTAGTTGTTATTCGATTTCATTTATTGACCAACTAACTATTTTAATGAAAAGCTGTGTTTGCCTACGAACACATTTCAATTAACAATTGTCACGCATCAGCACCAAATTAAAACATTTTGAAAATGAAAAACGAAAAAAAAAAACAGATTACATAAAGAAATAAATTATTGATGAGAGAGAGAAAAGTAATAGAGAGAAACAACAATGAAAACGAAATATTTGTGCAATCTATTAAATTGTAACGCATTTCTTGCGATGCGGTGGCAACGACGACGACGACGACCGTTTTCAGTTATTATTAGGTCAAATAATGCACGCAAACAAAATGATATCGAAGGAAGTGCATTGGTGATAGTCGGAACTCATTCGTTCCCTTGCTTGCTCTCTGTAGAACTTTTCGCTTCGTTTGCACGAACTTTGTTTAATTTTCCGTTTGATTTCCGCTTCGAAACTAAAGTAAATTAAATTTTGTTCTCACACACACACAAACACACACTATTTTCATAGCACGCAAACGTCCGTACGAAGGGTATACCAGTTCAGATTCAGAAGAGGAGCTTTTACGTCGTTTGCAAATGCAACAGTCGAGTAGTCTTCACAGTGGCCAATTGTCGAAATACGGTGCTGGACCGCTTAATGAGAATTTAAGTAGTTTAAAGCACATCACCATTGCAACGCACAGAGAACGATTTAATGATCCGTTAGGGGTGGCCGAACGCGGTAAGGTCGGTCTACCGTCAAGCAGTGAATGCAGTTCAAATAGTTCAGCCGATGCATCGGTCGAAAGTAATATGGGTATTTTGCATGGCGAACGAAAAGGTATGTGCACCATAACAACATATTTGAGTGTATTTATTTTGCAAACAAAACAAACAATGCGTGTGTATTGTAATCAAACGTAATACCCATGCTCAATTTTACCATCATTCCGGATAGATCGCCGACTGATTATGTCAGATGCAGCAAAGTCATTTGATTCGAATTCATCGTCAACGACATTAAAGGAAACTAGAATAGATAATCGTATCGAATGTAGCAATAGTTTACCATCAAAGAAATTCCATAAAATGGCAGTGCAACGACAGGATAGCATAGACAAGGCGCAAAATATTAGTAATAATAACCAAGATGTGAGTACGAGTCGAATAATCGGCACTGTTTAGACATTCAGATTCAATAGGAGGGAAGAGATCAAAAGAAAATCACAAATTTTTCCATTTACAATTGCAGTGCATTGTCGTTTTATCACAGGAACCACTTTTTGATACGAGCGATTTAGCATCGCTTAAATCGGATATCGATTCAAATCGTCCACAGTCACCATCATCCACGACGGGACGATACGGGAGCGTGGAAATATCACTCTTGTATGATGCACCAATGCGAAAGATGACCGTGCATGTTCTGCAAGCACGTGGCATCCCGTGCCGAGATAAAGGTCAACCCACACATACACAAGTAAGCAAATTGATCCGATATTTAGGAATATAATCACGTTATGCATAATCAAATTGAGTTATCGACAGAAATGAACCAAAAAAAAACACACACACACACACAAAATGAATTAAAACACACGCACATTTTTTCGAACGTGATTCGCCCCACGTGTAGGTACGTCTTCTTATGTTACCGAGTAAAAAACAGAAACATAAAACAAAAATACGCACAGGAGAAAATCCACAATTTATGGAAAGCTTTCTACTGCATCGTGTCAATCCAGAAGAAGGTAAACACATCGATTTTATCCTATTTTCATTTTTTTTCATAAACTCTCACACAACTTACGTGTTATATAATTAATTTTTCGCGTTATATTAATATGCATCAACAGTCAATTCGATGGGTTTACGTGTCAGAGTCTATGGCTGTGAACGAATGCGACGAGAACGTTTAATTGGCGAATCGATAGTTAGTTTTGCAACAATTGATCTCGAACTGGAGACGAATCTGTGGTTACCATTGGAGCCTAGAGCCAATGCAACGGTATGTATTTAGCTGTAACTTTCGAGACTTATTGCAAAATGCGACAAAACACCGAATTCAAAGCAATTCACAACACTGAAGCAATTTCTTAACATGTACATCTTTCCAATTCAGTTAAGTGGCTCGACAAGCGATTTGCTAAGTTTAGCTCGGTCGGATAGTACCGGTTCGACGACTTCCATGCAACACGGTGGCGTACCTGAGCTTTTACTAGCACTCGCTTACAACGGTACAACGGGTCGTCTCACAGCTGAAATAGTGAAAGGATCTCATTTTCGGAACGTAGCCCTGAACAAAGCGCCCGATACGTACGTGAAACTGGTGTTGGTCAGTAGCATGGGTCAAGAAATGGCCAAAGCAAAAACATCCACAAGAAGAGGTCAACCGAATCCACTGTTTAAAGAATCTTTTGCATTCCAAGTAAGTTCTTTCATATTCACCACTGGTCATCAAATCCTGTTCCACTTTCTGTTTTTTTTTCTTCTTTTTCTTTTTACTCACACGATTCATATTTCTCTTCGTCTTGTAATGTCAACAGGTAGCATTATTTCAATTAAACGATGTAACACTTATGGTGTCCATTTATGCCAAACGAAATATGAAAAAGAATGAAATGGTTGGTTGGTTTAGTCTGGGATTGAATTCATCGGGTCCAGAGGAGATGGCCCATTGGGTTGATATGCGAAAAGCGACACGCGGCGAACTGTTGGCACGATGGCATGTGCTAGTTGATTCCTGATTTCAATAACTAGGACTCTCACCTCGGCGCCTCAGCATGAATCTCGGCGGCAATTCCGAGCACTCGAAGCAAAAACGAAAATCAAAGGAAAAACGGCACAGCACCATTGCCGTAGATCTGGAGCCGGGGTTTGAGTTCAACTTTGTGTGAAATTAATGTTTTTTTTAGCTAGGTAATAAATATTGATACAATTTCATTCGATTTAATGTTATTTTAAAATAAGACATTTTGCGGTGCATGCATGCACAAATCGATACACACACACACACACACACACACACACACACACTGAAACGGAACTGGCATTGGATTCCGAATTTGGTTGAATGTTTGCGTGTGCGACGCAAAATCAGCACTCATTTTTCTGACGGGTCGCATGGTTTACTTTCTTTCGTCTCTGGATAACAAAAATAATATTTCATTGGCGAGATTTTTATGATGAATGCAATTATCAGACATCAAAGCTTTTAAAATGAACGTAATGAACATAAATACAATTTAGATTCGAATCATTAGAGATCAACAAACACAACAATGACGAGAATAACAAACAAAAGCTGTAGGTGAAAATTATTTGCTTTTTGTATTTTTCAAAACATTTAATATGATAACAAGAAAATAAAACAGATATTTATAGCGCGAAACGGTTTACTAAAATTCTTAAACTATTGACTGAGCTAACAACAGTCCGATACAAGTAGCAATAGATTCAAGAACAACCTTTTTTCAAATCCATATTCTCGAAGTAAACAAGAATAAAATAAACGTAGAAAGATTGTAGTGGTCGCAATATGTTGATTGATTGCGTTTGTCTCACAAGATTTTTCAAAGAATTACGATTTTTTTGCCGCTCGAGATACAATTTGTGATTGAAAATCAATCTCGTATTGCGTGAATATTGTCTGAGTTGAGTTTAATGTTTGTGTACTGATATGAATGCAACCAATCGCATGAAGTGCGAACATTCAAATGTCACTGAAATTTGAAGTGCGTCGAGTTAGTAGTTAGTATTACCTACCAGAAATGGTAACCGAATAGAAAAACGCTTTGATACATTTAACATGTTAATGAAAAATACAAACAAACAATACATGGAACGGAAAAGAGAGCCAAGTTCGTAAAGAATCAATCATCTCGGAAAAATTCTTTTTAGACATTTGTCTGTAGTTCAAACTTCTAAATGCATTTCGCAACCAAACCATGTTTTATTTGAATTCACCATGAATAAGACATGGACGCACTTCAAGTCGAATATTTATTAATATGAAACGACAAACTTGGAATTGGATTTTAAATCAAAGAACAAAATATAAATTTCCCGTAATTTTAATTGATATATTGTTGTTGTGAAGTTAAGTAGTTAAGGACAGAACAAAAAACAAACCGTGATTTTTCTAAATCGATAAAATTCAATATCGTATTGTGGAAATTGATTGATTTGATTTATGAGAAGCTTTATGAAATAGATCATATGAATAAAATGATAACGACGATGACGATGACGATGATGATGATGATGATGATGATGATGGCCTTGTTTTGTCAGTAATAAAATATGTGTAAGGAAATTAAACAAAGAAAAAAAAAACACGAAAATCGCACAAAAGACATTACCTAATAAAACAAAATGGATTGACCAAATTACAAATGAATTTTGAGGATACATTTTATTGAAGCATATCAATGAAACGCATAAAATATTTAGAGGGAAAAACACGAAGTGAACAGGATATATTGAATAATAATCACGCTCACATACACACTAACACCAACGCAAACGAAAATCAAACATTGTTTTAGCTTGAGCTTGGATCCATTTAGTTCGAGATGTTGTGTGTGCATGGGTTATTTTTAGGGCGTGTTATGGGCTGATGTCAGCAGCACTAACTAACGTCAGCTGCTGACGAGTATGCGTTGCGTTGTTTTAACGCATTCGCAGTATAAGAACGAAATGGTGAGTAAACTTTCCATTGGTATGTTCAATCTCACCAATGGTAAGTTTACTCACCATTTCGTTCTTATACTGCGAATGCGTTAAAACAA